TTATCCTTGAATGTTTCTAATGAGTTGGGTAATCAAAGTCGTTGTTATTCCAGTGGAATGTTTATTGGAAATGATTCTTTCAAAGTACCTGATAATTGTGAACTTGTTATTCTTTGTGAAAGAGATGTCCAAATGCTGATTGACGAAGAAATATTGAATGGACTTGAAAGAGCATTTCATGTTTCTCATAATCCTACTTTTTGGGATTTTGGATTAGATTTACTTGATAGAATCCGTAACAGTTTCTTAAGTTGGCAATAGATTCTAACTCAATCCTTCCCTTTGTTTTGAAGAGCAAATAAAATTGTTTTGTATGTTTGAAACTTGGTTACATCTTACTTGCTTGTCTTTTGGACACCATACAGTCTTCCTTGAAAAGAATTTGTGAGCTTGTTATGAAGTTGGCTTATAATCGTTTATAATTGAGCCATTCTACATTGCATTTAATAGCATGATATGTTCTGAATATCATCAATGCTAAATATGGGACAATTGTGTCCGATTACTTGAGTCATTCTAGCCATTTTTGGTCTTTGTGAAAATAATTTTGCTATTTTAATGCATCTCTAGAAAACTTTGTTGGAAATGGTTTCAAATGGCTGGGAAGTTTGTATTTGAGAGATGTGCTACACAGAAGAGAGATTGGCCTTGTGCTCCAATTGTTTTAGAATCTTCTATGCCTTTTGTCTTTTTTTAATATGGATTGAATATTTGTTGACATTGAAGATTTTCTAAAATGTTTCTACTTTTCAGCATAAACTCAGAATGAATGGCTTCATTGGTCTTTCTCAAAGGCTACTGGATAGGTTTCTCACCCAAACAAATCGCGATAGAATATTGAGACGTGAGTGATGATGACTTAACGTGAGTAATGGAAAATTATGCTACAAACAAGTTTTTCTAGGAAAGATACAAAAAAAGACCAAAACTCCAGGATTGTCTCTTGGAAAAGAAAATATGAAAGTTTCTCAAACAAATCTCCATCAGCCGGAGATTCAATATGCTTGAGTGAGCAACCCAAGTTTCCTGTAACCAAAACATAACATTTGCTTTGCTAAAAGTTGGTATGAGTCTTCAACTACGTTAGGTTTGATAGAACCACAAGTTGATCGGCAAGACAATGTAAATTGTTGCACCATAACAATTTCGTTACAAACTTCAATGATGGAAGGATGACGAAACTTTGTTGAATCGATCGAAAAATGCTTTGTTTTCATATAAACAGGATAGGAAATATTTTATTAAAATTTCTCAATATGTTTGAATTTGTTGCATTGATTCCTCTAAATATTCGTTTTGAGTTGGGACATTTTTATTCTTTATAAAACCACTTGGATAAAAGCGTTTCTCTTTTGTTTTTCCAAGTTAGACTTGTAATGGAAATGAATGTTTCTTGTGTTTATGTACCTCTTGCTGTTTTATACAGAACTTGAAGCTGTTTTTTATTCCTTTTACAAAAGTCCAAAAGTAAGCTTCTACTACTCTACGTTTATAAAAAAAATAATAAAGGAGAAAGAAATGTAGCCAGGTTGAAAAGTTTTGTAGATTGTGCGCAATCAACTGTTTTTAAACAGTCGTTTTTGTCTCAAAAATATATATGAAACCCTCGAAAGTCTTGTTTGGAACGGACTTGTTGAGATGTAGAATTTGGCAGATAGTATTGTTGCAAAAGATTGCTATCATATATTCAAATAGATAGTCAGTAATAACCGATCCAAAGTTAATAACTTTCCTATACAAAATCTCGTCCAACTGTTCTTCGAGAGCATTCCTATGAAAAGGCGACTTACTTCGAAAGTATTCCCTTATCTTCAACATACATAAAGAACTATGAATTTATGTTAAAAAGGCCAAACCGTATATACTGCTTTGAAAATATCCTTCTCAAAGTTATTTTTCAGAATAGAAAGTACTGATAAATAGAAAAAGAAAATTTGAAGCAGAGAGAAACCTTAACATCCTTTCTACTTTGGTGTCGCATCATTTTGATTGAAACGTTGAAGTTGTTCAACTTATGATCCAACGATTTTCAAAATAGACATCATAACTGAAATCCAAAATACAAAAAAACTTCTTTTTCTGTTTCTAGCTTAAAAAAACATCAAAATGCCAAACGATATATTCTCAACTTGCTCATTTGTGCACCCTTTCCAGGGAAATTTTTATACTGATCAGAATGCAATACGATTAAATTGGAAAGAAATTGTGAAGAAAGAAGCAAAAAAATTCTTTCATTATTATGAGTGACGATAAAATGATTATAAATTCGACCAACCTAACATATTTTGTTAATAATCCATTTTATCTAGATTTATCCCGGACGTTGAATTTTTGGTCTCGTTGTTTTTCAGAGTCTACTGAAATGCTGAACTAGATCATTCATTTCACCGCGAGCTTTTACTGTGTATAAATTCAACATATTATTACGGCCACGCTTCCCGAGAATCATGAAGATTCCAGTGTTTGTCCGTTCTGTTACACTGTCAAGCAGAAGCAGAACTTGAACCGCAAAGAGCGGAGGGATTAGTCATTCAAGTATAAAATTAGTGTTGTTTTCTAACAGATTGATCCTTATAGATTAATAAAAAATCATGAGAAGGTGGCGTTTCAAAAGTTTCTCACTTATCGGAAGCCGAAGAAACTCTACCTTGATGAGCTTCCAAGTGGAAATCGCAAATACAGAAATATTTTCACCCATCTCTTTAATGATTTCTTGTTTTTCAAGTATTTATTAAAACCCTTTGCTTGTAACGAGAGAAGGAAACTAGTAGTTCATGATATAATTTGTCCTTGATCGTCTAAACAGGCCATCGTATTGCTTTGTCAACTATTCAGATGAATCCAACTCTTGATATGAAAAGTGTCAACCAGAACTATATATAAATATATACCTATCAAGAGCTTGCATGGCATTATTGTCTTTAGCAGACAATTTGATTTGACATGATTGGGAAAGTCACATGTTTTCTGAAAGAAGGAACTTGACAGATTCAACGCAAATCACACAAGTGGAATGGATTCATTCTTTAATTTTTGCAAACAAGTTTATTAAATCAGATCTTTTAACTACTCAACTTTGAGAACCATCAAAGGTAGTTCTCCCAAGGAACCATCGGTCTCACCAGTTCTTATTTATTTCGAGAATCCCATTCCACCGTAAAGGCTGTTTGGAATGGCATACTTGGATATTATTTTGAGAAATTCAATATATAGTCTTGGCTGAGGTTGTAGATTACCAAATAATGCATAATACCAACGATAAGGAGCGAATGCAAGATGAGCAATAGGATGAGAACGAAAATGTGCATAACAGGAAACCAATACACCATCAGCCAGAAAAGTCCCAGTCGTAGTTAAAGGAGCAAAGGCATCCGTCTGATGAATTTGTTCTATTTTCATTACTTGACTAGGAAATGTCAGGGAATCATTGTTGAAGAACACTTTATCGTTCACTGAAATCTCCTTGGCAAACACAACACTGATTTGATTGTCTGGCTCTAAACGTATTATCAAGTGATACGGAGATATTTTCAAGTGTCCCATCTGATGAATAACTCGCAAAAAGCTGACTTGCGTATTAACCTTTTTATCAAGCCATCCAATGATAGTTGTTGGTCTTGTCATCTTCCTTTCTGTATCATAAGTCAGTATACTATCACCGACCTCTAAGGAGCGTAGAAAAACTTGCTGAGATGTATCCAAATAAACCTTTGAATCACCAGAGAGGCAACTAACTCCTCCTGAAGATGAAGAAACTTGGGAATTATCTGAACCACTAGAACAAGGTGCTGAGATTTGAATGTAAACACTGCCTAAGTTTTCCACATTCCCTGTAAGACTCTGCATCAAAGGATCCATAGATATACATTCATTTACTGGAGCTTGTTCACATGTGCCTTGATAACACACCTGAAGTTGCATTTCATTACCACAACCGACAATCTGCACAGTAATATCTTGTGTGATCGATGGTAAAGTTTCGTCTAAATATTCATTAAAGTAATTATAAAGAGTAAATGTTTCATGAAGATTTGAACTGTCTGTAGTATACATGTTAGAAGCATAATTCTGTCCACTACAAGTATTCGAGAGAGGAAAATAAGTCACTGAAACAGTAATCTCGGAGTCTCTAGAAATGCTTGTCGAAAATGTAGAAATATTTTTCATGAGCAAAGGAGAGCTGTTGTGTTTTACATAAGAATACTCCAAGGGTATACACGCTAAGGTATTTGAGAGGTACGTGACCAGGGTCAAGAGTAGCAGAAGATATTGCAGCATTTCTCAATCAGAAAAATTTGGGATAATCCCAAAACATCCTATTGAATGTCCTATTTGTAGCCTGTGTGGGTTGCGCAACTCAAAATCAGTTGCATTATCTTTCCAGAAAATCGTCGTATTCATTTCTCTTCTCTGATGTTGGCCTTTTGTATTTCCTCCGTCACAGCAAAACTGTACAAGTATCCTCGTCAATTGCGACTATTTGAATACTGTACAATATTTCTTTGCTAAACTGAACAGTCTGTCATTTTTGTTTCGATTGACAATGTAATTTCGTATGCTAGAAAACTGCCAACCAGGCTAACGTAGAATTTTGATATATAGAAATGACTCAAAAAAGTTTGAGGCAACTAATCACAGAAATATTTT